GGTCGTGATCAGATGGAGAGGGATTCCGTGAAAGTTTGCTGAATTTTGATCAAAGTACTATTGTCGAAAGCGACGTTTTACTCGAGATCGCCTGCTGAGCCCGCCTCAGACGGTGTCTTGCTGCCGCCGACCGGGATTGAAGTGTCCACGGCGATCATCTCGGCTAGGATGTCTAGAACGGGCTGTGTAGTGTTAGCAAAAATCGGAGCGCACAAGGTGGCGAAAAGGAATCTACCTTGGGGACAGTCTTGTCGTAAATGTTGATCAGTTCTCTGGGGTTGGGGTAGACCTTCAATGCGCGGTAGAAGCACAGCGCAGCCTCCACGTTATCCGCACCTGCCATACAATTAGCACCACACCCCGCCAAGCCCACGACCGTGACCACAATGACTGCATACCCTTTTGCACCATTCCCTCTCCCTGGGCAACCTCTTGCATAAAGTATGCCTCGACCTCCTCGGGGTCCTTGGGGAAGCCCTCATCGTTTGCGCGCTCGACCGCCTCCCGGATAGCCTTCTTCTGCTCGGCGCCCTGTGCTTCGGCCTCCTCCTTGGCCTGGCGCTCTGTCCGCTTCGACTCCTTCTTGAGCTGCTTGCGGAAATTGGGGTCGTTTCGTCGCTTGTAGTCGAAGTAGGCGGCATATGCGAGGAGGCCTGTGATGATGGTGCCGGCGCTAATAGCCGCAATGGTAGAAGGTTTTAATGACGAGTTAGACATGATGGCGGCCGAATGCGTGGGATTGAAGAGCGCTTGGTGGCGGAGAAGGCTCGGCGGTACACCTTGGAAATGGAGGAGGGATGGCGGTGGTGCGTGAGTGTGTGGTGTTCAACTTTTTCTCCAAGTTCAGGGAAGGCACGATCCGACATGGTGGAGGGTCCGAGCTCAAACGCTCGCCGCGGCCCCATGCACGGCATGCATGATGCACTTGCGCTTACCTGTCACGACCACCTCGACTAATTCCTCTACTACTACTACTACTTCTGCTGCTGCCACTGCTGCTACCATCCCCCCAAGGCAGCATGTCAGAAAAGCAAAAGGGCATCTCCCTCCGCAAGAAGCGGGGGGACAAGAGCAAAAAGGCCCCGCCCGTCATCAGCGCGCCGCGTCAGATTAGCGCGCCTATGCCCGTGGCCGTCGCTCCATCTTCACTGCCAGGCTCAGGACGCCCTTCGAACGAATCCAGCAGATCTAGGACGAGACAAGATGCTCCGCCTCCGCCTCCGCAAGCAAACCCACAGCGGCCAGATAAGACGGCCGCTTTGGTCAAGAGGAGGTATTCGCAAAAGGTTACGACGAACCCTCCCGACTTCAGGGACAGAGCGCCTATGCCTCAGATGCCTGTGCAGTACCGCCAGGAGAGGGAGCCGAGCCAGACGAGAGAGCCCAGGCAGCAAGGCATGTCAAATGCGCCCAATGGGTCCAATGGGCGGGCGTTGCAGGTCGACCCCCGCGCACTCAGAGACCCCAACTTGAAAGTAGAACAATGTGAGACGCACATATTGAGGAAATACGTACAATAAAGTGCTGACCGCATTCAGATGTATCCACTATCCTCGCAGATGCCTCCGAAGCCGACATCAACCGCTACCAAGACGAATTACGCAAGACTAAGCACCGCACTTCCCTCGATCTCCAGCACAATGTATACCAGAACCGTACACAGTTTATCAAGATCAGTAAAGAGGCGGAGAAACTCAAGGGCGAAATGCGAACACTGCGCCAGTTAATGTCCGACTTGACCACCACACTTGAGCAGACAGCATCGGCCACCGGCGCAAACAACGATGCTGTAAGCAACAGGAGAGCTAATAGAAGTTCGATTGGCGACCTCAACCAGCTGCGAGCAGGTCAATTGCAGCAGTTGTACAGGGATGTCGAGGGCTCGCAGAAGTACCTACCTCCCATTCCCGGACGATACATAGTGTGGAAGTCAGGGAAATGGTTCGAACTAGACTCTGCAACTTTGAAAGCAAGAAGACGAGTCAGGTTGCTCCTCCTGAACGATCATCTTCTAATTGCAACAGAAAAGAAGGCCCGCAACGATATCCCCGGGCAGCGTGAGGGCAACCGAACGAACATGGAATTTACTGCGCAGCGATGTTTTCCGTTACTAGACACTCACGTCACAAGGACATCAGAAGAGCGCATCATTATCCGTGCTGGCGCGGAAACATTTACCTATGATACCAAGAAAGAAGATAGTGGTGACAAGTCTGCTTTTGTTGCAACCTTCCGCAAAACTAAGGATGACTTGCGCAAGAGTCAAGAAGCCGATGTGCAGGAAAAGGACCGGACTCAGGACTCGTACAACCACTTGCTCTCTCGTGACCCTGCGCTCATGAACAGGACGGAGCTTCTCGACAATCTTTCTGATGGTATCAACAACGAGCAAGCCAACACATTTATGGATGTAGATGGTCAGAAGCGAAATGTCCGTTGGGTGGAAAGCCAATTGGATGACTTGGACATTGAGATTGCGCTGCAGCATTTCGAGGAAGCAGTGGTAAAAGTCGATCGGCTCAAGTCACTTGCGAAGAACATTCGCGGCAACGAAATGGCAAAAGCCATTGTAACATACAAGGTCAACGAGCGCGCTGCTAAATTAGCAAATGTGCTGGTCAAACACATGGTAGAGCACAACAACTGGTTCTCCTCTGTCCGGCAGCACGTCAGCTGGGTCGTCCAACTGGGTTTCGAAGACAGAGCGCGCGAAGATTATCTCGAGGCTCGCGGTAACCTCATCAAAACTCGCTCACGGTTCGTTCCCTCCCTCTTTTCTTCCTCCCTTTCGTAATCTGTCAGCTAATGCTTCTTCACAGCCAATGCGTCTTCGAAGGCAACCTACCAGACTACATCTTTCAAATCTCATACATCTACTTCACCATCATCAAAAATACGGTCGACATGTTCCAGCGCTGTTTCCCCCAGCAACTCATGTCTGCCTGCGTGAAATGGGCCAAAGAACATATTGACCAGTTCAACGTGCTGCTCAAGCGGCAGCTGAGCAGTGTGGAGGGGGGCGGGAACGTTTGGAACGAGTGTCTGAGGTTGGCGCATGAACATGCGGAGATGCTGAGGGATGTTGGGTTGGATTTTACGGAATTGGTGGGGAGGGGGATTGGGGAAGAGGAGGGGGAGGATGCGAAGGTGCCAGTGGGGTTGGGTGTGTCGTAGATGTGTTGGGAACCGTGTAAATAGTGTAATGGGACATATGAGGTGTATCGCATTTTGTGAACTCGGCCTCGGTGCGGTTGTTATTATTTCCAAGGTAAGATGCGGTAAAAGAGGGTTCGGTCGAACTTGAGCAGGAACAGTGCATAGCTACGTGTACCACATCATCTCTTGTCAACGATGAGTGCTGAATTACAGGTGGTAGGAATGTCTGAGCCAAACTCTCTCAGAGTTGAATGCACATATACACATGAAGGAATTGCTATACTCTATTAAGGCTCAATCATCAATCAACGTTTCAGTAAGTGTCTAGGTTCAGGTGCAAGCGTGAAGTCTACAAATTCAATGAAGAGGGATAAGGACATGTCACTCCAATTATCTGAAAAGCCTGGATGTCATGTCGTGCTCGTATGATGATTTTACGCTACATGCGATAAAAGGGACACCGTTGATGCGATAGCTGGAAGGAACATATAATCGAACAACACAGTCTGTTCTCCTACATCTCTAGCCTTCTGATACACTGTGATCTATAAAAATCACTCAAGACGTAGTCTTTGAGTTCCGGTCTAGCTGTGTTGCAATGGCAGCCTACTAACAGTCTGCCGCTAGCCACAAACGCCTCTATCTTCGCTAACCTTCACTTTCACCTCAACGTTATTCGACGTCACCTTATAGAAAATTCTTAAAAACCTGCAAAATACTGCGCTAATCGTAACTGCATGTCACGTGTGGTTACTAAGCTGTGGGAGTCTGCCTTCACTAGGGATATAAGGACGACTGTGAGACTTCCCTTGTCGCTCACCTCACTTGCTCGAAAACTCTACTCTCAACTTTGATACAGTAAGCTACACACTTCAAGATCAAACACCAGCAACACAGGTCAACAAGATCCAAAATGCCTTCCGACAGCGAGAACATCACCTATCTGTATCTGATCTTGACTCACGATGGCCCCCCGACTGTAAGCTTTACCGTTTTCCCTGCAGAAGTGAGAACATATTTATCAACAGTCGTACCTCAGGCACAAGTAACGTCGCTGACTTGCGGCAGATCGACTGGGACGCTGTCAGTGCTGCCCTCAATCTGAACAAGGGCGCAGTGACGAAGCGCTGGTCCCGCCTCAAGACAGCGATGGAGAAACAGCAAACGCCTAGTAGTTCTTCGTATCCCTTCCTCTGGCTCTGCGTCAAGCACAACACCCACACGAACGTACGTTATGCATCTTCCCTACACATCTCTTCAATACCGCAAGTAAAAGAACATCACTCACAACGATATAGCCTATCAATTGGGACGTCATCGCTACAGCCTGCAACACTACGACTGGCGCAGCATCCAAGCGCTATTCTCGTATGAAGCTAGCGTTTGAGAAGGGCGACGCTGCACCAAGTTCTCCTGTTAAGACTACTGCTGCTAAAGCCAAGGCTACTCGTAAGCCCGTTATCAAGGACGAGCCTGAGGTTGCCGAGAATTTCAAGACATCACCCAACGCAAAGCGCAAGCGTTCAGCCCTCAAGACCACTGATGTTCTTGAGAACGAAGATGAAGAGTCAGATGTTAAACCAAAGCGTGCCAAGCGCAACACGACCAAGAAAGCGGCCGTCAAGGAAGAGGAGGAAGAAAGTGATGTGTTCTTCGACGCTGAAGAAGCCACAGGAGCCATCACTGAAGCAGCGGATGTCGAGTCGGAAGAGCATGAGGACTTGCTGCCTGTCGATGACTTGTGCGGTTGAATAAGGCTGACTAGAGGAAAAGAGACTTGAGTAATATGGATGGAATCTGGAAGGAGTGAGAGGTTTTCAGGGCATTATGAATGGTATCAAGGTTTCTTATAGTCGAACGAGGGGTTGACTTTGTACGGGAGATTGGTATTCGAAGTGCTCTGAGTACCTAACTATCTCGGCCGCCCCTAATAAATTCATAATTTCACATTTCCATTTTCACAATCCATAAACCTACGGTGTCAGAACCAACTTTCCAGTGGTCTTCCGGCTCTCAATATCCTGCGTTGCCCTCACGATATCACTGAGAGAGTAAATATCGTGAATCTTGACATTCAGTCCATCCTTCTCAATGAACTTCCATAGCTCGTTCGATGCTTCGAGAACTTCCTCGCGCGTAGCGAGGTAGTTGAAGAGCGTAGGCCGGACGAGCTTGATGTTCTTTGCTCCAAGACGACTAAAAGTTGCATCAGTCACTATTTCCACAGAAAGGGCGAAAAAGGCAAACTTACCCAAGAGAAAAACCCTCCACAGGTCCAGATGCGTTACCAAATGAACACATAGTACCCTTCCTCCTCACCACCGCAAGCGAGCTGTCAAAAGTGGCCTTACCAACTGAGTCAAAGACGGCATGTACACCCTCACCTCCCGTGATCTCTAGAACCTTCTTCACGAAAATGTCTCTGTCTTCCTCGTAGTACTCAAGCAACACGTCAGCACCGTTTTCCTTTGCGAGGTTCCTCTTCTCCTCCGTACTAGCTGTCGCAATAACCCTTGCGCCAATCGCTTTGAGCAACTGACACAGCCACAATCCGACACCACCAGCTGCAGCCGTGACAAGGATCCAGTCGCCCTTTTGCACAGCGTACGCTTCGCGGATGAGAGTTACAGCAGTTAGCGCTTGGAGCAAGGAAGCAGCAGCCGTCTTGGTTGGAATGGAATCTGGCAAAGGAACTGTGGTTTTGGCTGGCGCGGCAACGTATTCTGCATATGCCGATTGACCCATGTAGGCTACTCGCGCACCCACTTTGAGGTCAGCGGGTGTATTGGGGCCGGTTGCTGCGATGGTGCCAGCGCCTTCGCGCCCGAGAATATAGGGGAAGTGGGTGGGTTTGTAGACGCCTGAGCGGAAGTATCTGGACACGATATGAGCGACAATGCTGCGGAGGTAGAAGATATTATGATAAACTTACGTATCGATGTAGTTGATACCAATGAACTCATTCTTAACCAGTACCTCTCCCTCCTTGGGCTCAGGAACTGGCACATCATTATATTGCAACACGTCCGTTCCACCCGTCTTTTCGATATATACTGCTTTCATCGTCTTCGGTATGGACGCCATGGTTCTGAAACCGATCACTCCCGGGCTCACGTGCGCACTGATAGCTGCGAGTCTTGTCGCTGGAGATGTTTGTCTAAAAAGCAATTGGGCAGGGTGCACAGCTTGCCGCACAAAGATCATAAATCGGAATTTAGAATTGATGAAGTTCCGAAGGCTTGGTTCTGTCTTGGAGGGATAAACGCTGGCGATAAATACATACACGGCGGCGGCGGCTGCCCCGCCCCCCACACTCCCCGCTCCCTGCGGCTATCACGTCACGTCACGATACGATTGTCTTATTCAGCAGATTTTCTTAGATTAGGGAATTGAGGTGACTGATATACGAATAGAGTCTAGTATGGTGAATCATTGTCCGACATGTTGTATTTGTCAGCGGTGCATGTCACTTGAAGGGCGTATGGAGTTGCCGGTTTTGAGTGGAGGTGGGGGAGCTCCACGCCGATTTCGCTCCTGGAGTACAAGTGCGCCTTGTCAGCAAACAACGCCACAGACTGTCTTGAAGCTCGGTTCGCAAAAGAAACTACGTCCCGGTATACCAGAGACAATACGTAAACTAGGGTATCCTGGTTAAAGGCAGTTAATGTTGGTTTCTGTCTCATCACCTTATGTTGCGCACGCATGATTCTCTGGGTTTTCACTGCGATACTTTGATCTTTTTTTGGAACGCTTGGAATAAGATCGATGTTGATGAGATCGATCTTTTGAACAAATGCAGAACCAAATGCTAATCATGCTCACGAGTTGTCATAGCGGCGGTGACCAAGAAACTCAAGCAAAGAGTTTCTACATATACACAGGCATGCGCGAGGTAGTTGAAGTGTTAGCATGAATCGTATCTGAGACACATATGTGAGCTTTCCTGGGCTGCCTTTTTCAGATAGAGCTTTTGTCTTTCTGAAAAGAGCAATTTAGCCGAAATACCTTCTAAGTTCCGTGGTCTCAACCAGAATACCGTACAGTGTCATGAACAGATTGTTTTTTCTTAGAAACAATCTGTACATTCAGTTCAGATAAGCCTCAGGTTGCGACATCCCCTTCCCATGTCCGTATATGCTCCTGTCTTTACCTCAACTGTGGCGTCTGCGTTGCGCCCTGCCATTGTGACGAGCTTAGCTTTACGAGAGGTTTTTCTAGTTTCATCTATCAATAGCTTTCTTTTACCTTGCCAAGAGTTGTACACAGGTGAGGCGTATGTTCTTAATAAATCTGCTAGACTATACCTCTAACCGAAGCTCGTCTACGCTTCTTACGTTCGGTACAGTCTCCAAATACGGAGAGACATCACAAGTAGCAAACTTACACTGGATCACTATATCGTCTACAATGCCACTTTGCAATAATTATAATCAAAAGGTTGGCCATTTTTCTCAAACCCACATCTAAGAATTGTGCGCCGCTACTACTAAAGCCATAAGAAAACTCGGTATCTAACAATTCATCTCATACTCTGTTCCTGCAACATTCACAACGAACTCGAAGCCCTAGCGTAAACATTAGAGAAGAACAGCTTCATACAAACTCCACGATGGGCAAAGACAAGGTAGAAGGCATTGTCACAGGTGAGACTCATGCTCTGCACAATGCACTCATACTGACATACAACAGCAAGCCATATTCCAACCATGGTATACTTACATTCTAATGTACTCAATAACCAGCAAGCTGTCGCTAACACAAGAACATAGTCTGAAGGTCATGTCTCACGTGAGGTTGATCGTATCGAAAAACGCATAAACCACAAAGAAAAAAACAAGACAGAGTTGAGGACTGCGCCTCACACAGAGCCTAGTGATAATGGTGTCAACTGGAAGGAAAGGTTCGAAGGGCTCAGGAACGTTGTGTTGGGTACTGTGTGGATCGGCATAATCACGATAGCAATTATAGTGTAAATGTCCATAGCCAATTCCTAAATAAAGACTAGAGTAGGATGTGTTGAGACGTCACAAAATTCTTACATAGATACGCGCTCGCTTGTGCCACCAACACATCAACCCGCGTGTCAAGAACCAAGGCTTACCAGCCCCCACTACGTCATCGCTTCACACATGCAAATTGGGCAAACCACCATATCCTAATTGCGCATTCTCCACTCTCTAAACTAAAAGCAAGTACATTCTTCCAACTGTATTCTTAAAAAAATTGGTATCGTCAAAAATATTTGTTACAATCCACTTTTCAAGATGGGCGCATTCCTATCTTCCATCCTCGCGCCCATCGCCCTCCCACTAGGCTCCTTCCTCGCCATACCCATGTTCAGCTCGTGGTCTACGGGTCTAAACCTCATATTCCTCTCTGTCGCATGGACAACAATCGCGGCATCTTACTCTCCTCTGCAACTGGAACTCGTTGCCCCCTTTGTCCTGCGACTATCACTGTACATCATACCCAGCCTTATCTTTCTTATCTTCGACATTGGTGTGCCTAGTCTTGCGGTCGAGTTCAAGAGCCAGGGGAAATGGGGCATTCCGAGTAACCAAAGGGGTGGTACAAGGGCCGTGAGAAGGGTAGTAGTGTGGAGTTGTGCAAACGTACTGCTTATGGTTGCATTACAGGCGGGTATTGAGTTTATTGTGACGGATGTGTTGCAAATGAAGAGTCTACTGCGCATCAAGGGAAGTAAATGGGGACTCAATCACTTGCCAAATCCTTGGACCATGGTAAAGCACGGCAGCATTGCTTTTGTGTTGCGAAACGTGAGTTGGCTTTTCTGTGTTCTGCAAGTCAATGTATACTAACAGTTGAGTTAGATCCTCCAATACTACATCCACACCCACCTCCTGCATTCACCCACTGGTGGAGTCTTGTCAACACTCCACCAAAACTGGCACCACAGTATCCGGATTCCTTACTCTTTTGTGGCAAACTACGACCATCCCATCTGCCATCTCTTGCACCGTTTTCTTCCTTTGTACCTCCCCGCAATCGCATTGCGCATGCACATATTGACCTATCTTATCATGATTGGACTTTTCAGTCTCGAAGAGACATTTGTGTACTCTGGCTATAATGTCTTACCATCAACCATCATGTTAAGGGGCATGGCACGTCGTGCTGATGCGCATATGATGAGTGAGGGGGAAGGAAACTACGGATGTTTGGGTGTGTTGGACTGGTGTCATGGAACGACCTTGGGCAAGGATGTGGTGGAGGACCTCAAGGCAGAAATGGAAAAGCACAACGTAGAAGCCAAGGCAGGAAAGGCTATGGACGAAGCAGGCAATGCAGCAAACGGGCTTGCCAGCAGACTTGGAAGATCCAAAAAAGGTAAAGGAAGAAAGTGAATTGCACATCAACACAAGGTGGGACACGGAAAGGGGCAGTGCAATTGGCGCAATTGGTCCTTGGGTCATGGGTTCGGGTTGGTTGTGGTCGCTTCTGATACCTTTACGTCATAATCGGATGGAGCTCTTGTAGCAGCCGGCGCAGTCATCGGTCGAACAATGTCAATGTGTCTGTAACTCTATTCCATGCATCAGTACTCGATTACCGCCCTGTATGTACCGCGCCAATTGAACGCCCAACTATGACATCACGCAAGCAGAGACCAAATGTTCACTTCTGGACCGTCTCAGATTCGCTTGCTCGTTATAAAGTCTTATGGTAAATGCCTTGGCGATATCCTCCATGAAAAAAATTGGCTGCCCTGCCGCTGCGGTTCTTGATCCTCGCTAGTACGGCTGCAGTATGCCGAAGTCATCTTTCATCCCATGCACTGAACGCCGAATGCCCGATCGTTATCCGTCGCTTAGAAGACCATCGCGTGAGGCCTGTCTGAGCTGCGGAGGCTGAAGCTGGCACCGAGGTAGTCCGCGAGGTGGGCTTCCTTCTTGATGGTGGCCAGGAGGGCCTTGTCAATGGCCTTCTGGTCCTCGACACGGTCCTTGGAGGTCTCCTTCTTCTGTTGCGATTGTTAGTATCGCCGCATTAGAGCGCTCGTCGTAGTTACGCACCTCGGGCTTCTCGCCCTGCTTGAAGAAAGCGTCCTCGCCAGGCTTGTGGGGGGCCTTGTCCTTGGTGAAGTAGCCGTCTTGGCTGGCCTTCTCGACAACCTTCTCGTCTACGCCTGCAAGGTCGACCTTGGTGGAGGTAGCGATGACATAGCGGGCGTTTACTCGGCGGAGGGGAACACCGTTAACTTTGAAGGGACCGGTAACAAGGAGAACACCCTGGGCAAGGTGCTTGAGGACAACGACGCGCTTGCCGCGGAAGCGACCAGCAAGGAGGATGACGACGGTACCGGGCTGGAGAGACTGGCGAACCTTTGCAGGGCGAACAGTCTTGCGGGCCTTTGGTCGCAGTTAGCGGAGCTCCAGAAGATGCTCTATTCTCCCAAGTTCCACAATGGCGCACCCGCTGCACGCAAGCATATTGATTCATTTCCCGTCTCTTTGCAATTCTCCGCTTTGCCTTGACGCTCCCGGTTCTATCGCGAACGTACCTTCTTGGGGACGGCAACGTCCTCAGCAGGGTAGTACTTGCTGGCCTTCTGGCTGTGGTGCGGTATCGACCTCTCCCCCTTGGAGAACTTCTTGGTGTTGGGCTTCGTGTCCTCTTGTGTGGCCGCCATTTCGTTTCGCTGTGGTCGTTAGTGCTGGTCGGTGGTGATGGCGATGGTCGGAATTTCGTGAAATCCTCCAGTGTGTGCCAAGCTGTCCAATCGATACGCGTGACCGGGCCGAGCATTGTTCCGGGGCGCTCGGAGCTTCCCGCCGCGTCGCCGCCAGCTCCACCGAAGTGGCCTAGGAAGCTCGAACATCATTGTCCCCAGCATCACAAACACCACTCCAAACATGTCCATTCAGCCACTGATCACCTTCAAGGCCGGCCAGTGCGAGCTTACGGTAAGCTGGACGGAGTTGTGCCAATCATGCTACCTGTACTAATCGCACATTCAGCGCCGAGATGGCAACCAGCAGACGGTCAAGCCTATCCCGACACCTGGTTACGTCTACCTTTACCAGGGAGAAGATGGTTTGTGCGCAGCGACATCACCCCGTGCATCAGACTGACGGTGCCAGAATTTGTGCACTTTTGCTGGCGACCCCGCGACAGGCCCCTCGACCAGTCCGAGCTTGACCTCATCATGATCCCCGGCGACGGCTCCTTCCTCCCATACACTGGCAAAGAGTCAGCAGAGGACTCGGACAATCTCAGATCACCTACTGATGGCCGCATTTACGTCCTCAAGTTCTCGTCGAGTTCACAGCGCTACCTATTCTGGTTACAATCCAAGTCGGAACACCCACGCGGCGCCGCATGGTTCAGCGAGCGTGATCAAAAGATTGGCCAGATCGTTGATCTGCTGCTGACTGGCGAGGAAATTGATGTGCAGGCTGAACTCGCCGGTCTCTCTGACCCACACGGCGGTAACGACGAGGACGAGACGATGGAAGACGTAGACCATTCATCTAGCCGAAACCGCCACGGTAGCACCGGAGGCGCTGGAGCGGATGCTACCGGTGGAGACATCCGAGAGGAGGGCGAAGAGTCCCGTGAAGGAGGTGCTGACGGCGGCAGAGCGTAGGTTCCGTCTACTTGTAATTATATGCGGCGTCGTGGCGTAGTGGAATCACTGAAAGCAACCGAAACTACTATGGAAGACCATACCAGAGTCCCAATGTAGAAGAGAAAAAACTCAAAAGGACATTCTGTCACGATACGGCGTTTGGGAAGGAGCATAAGCCCAACCAAGAACATGGGATATTGGCACTGGCTGCTCATGTACAACAATAGAAAAATAAGCATCATGCTACGTCTTCCACCGGCCACGCCACGGCGCCCATTCTATTCCTTTCTCTTGAGCTCCAGCATCCTGATACACCGAGCTAATATTTCGACAGAGCCGCGTCAGGCGATGTCTCAGCAATTGTCTCCAACTTCATGGACTCGCTCAAGGGCAGCAACATGGGAGGTAGCAGCAGCTCGCGCCAACAAGGTTCCGGCGCGCCCTTCACCACGCTCCTCGACCTCCTCTGGCCCTCGCACACCGTCCCCACCGTCCAAAACGCATCCGATGACATCATCGACGCTCTCTGTGCCCAACTCCCCACCACCCCATTCCTCCTCGAAGCCGAAGTCGAAGACGTCGACCAAATCGACCCAAACTCCGAGACCGCCCAAATGGCTATCCAGACGCTGAGCCGCGAGGAAAAAATCGACGTCCTCACCAGAATTCTGCGTGCGCCGCAATTAAGGGCTGCGCTGGGTAGTCTGACTGAAGCGCTCAAGACGGGTGCGTTGCCGACTGTTAGTCAAGCTCTGAAGGTCGATGTTGAGAACGGGGGTTACATGAGGGGTGGTGCTATGCCGCTTGGTGGCGGAGATGCGGTCAAGGCATTTTTGGATGGTGTGAAGAAGACGGTAGAGAAGGAGAGGAAGAAGGGGGGTGATGAAATGGATACGAGCTAGATGTCGCTCCGTGTAGATGTGGTAGTGATAGAGAGGGCTCGATACGACTTCACGCTGTATGATGACTGCATATGACTTATGGTAGATATTAGAGGAAGATGAATGAGATCGGCATGCCAGTCAGTGCTTGGGGAAACTACGCAAGTATCTTGTTTCTTTCTCAATGCTTGGTCTTGTCAGGATGTCTGGTTTACGCCACCGGCCCCATTTATGATACTCTGACAAAGTTCCAGGTTAGTACAAGAAGAAGAATACGCACACCCGTCAACTGTAACAAAAATGTGGCGCATATCATTTTGCGAAGGGGGCAGGGGAAAACCTGGAAAGATTTGTGGCACATAATGGATGACTCGATCGAGTGGGAAATACGAAGGGCGCTTAGGAGTCATCAACACAAAGGACGAACTAGGAAAATGCGAAAGCTGTGGTGACAGTGACACAAGACGTTCATGACAGGCTGTCAAACACGCACTTACCAAAGTCCAGAAAACACACATACACAAGGAAAAGTTTTGGACTAAGACACAGACATTTGACCATTATGCCTATAATCATATCGGACATTGTAAACTTGAGAATGGCTAGTGCAACGACAACCCCCTTCCCCATGATGTAAACACCGTACCATCAAACTCCATGCCACCAAATGCTCAAACAAACAGAAAAGGACGCTACAAACACTCGGACTAACATCGATCCACTAGTAGCTTCGTCCGAACAAGATCCACTGCTTGGCTGGAGTCGTGCAGGTGGGGTTGATGCACTTGGTCTTGCCAGGCTCAATACCCTCAGGCTGGTCGAAAGGAATACACAAACTCTTTGCACCCATGGCAGGGGCTTGCTTGTCCTCAGCGACACCATCACCCAACGCTGTTCTGGCGCTCTTGGCCTTGACCTCGTCCTCGCACTTGTCACCCTCACAGTGAGGAACGAGAACAACGTTCTTGGCATTAAGAGTGGGAACGAAGTCGTCCCAGTTAGTAAGCTGTACGCGATGGCTGCGGAAGGTCTTGTCAGCCTTTTCGAACATATCATTCTGAATCTGCTCGAGCAGCTTGGGAACCTCTTTTGTAAGGTCATCGACGTTGATAGTACCACGTGCAGCATCCTTGTCGTCAATGTCGCGGCGCGAGGTGGTGACAATGCCCTTCTCAGCATCCTTGGGGCCGAACTCGATTCGCAGAGGGATACCCTTGAGCTCCCAGTCGTTGAACTTCCAGCCAGGGGAGTAGCCTTCACGGTAGTCGGTCTCAACGCGAACGCCTGCGTCTTTCAAGTCGTCTGAAATCTTCTTGACCTTGCTGTAAAGGCTCTCCTTGTCTTCGGCGGACATCCTGCTAAGATTAGTTACATCTTCCTTAAGGACACGCGGATAAAACCTACTTGGCTGTAACACCGACAGGAATGACGACAACCTGGATTTCAGCCACCCGAGGAGGGATGACCAAACCCCGGTTATCACCGTGAGTCAGAATCATGACACCGATTGAGCGGGTAGTCAGACCCCATGAGTTTTGCCAGACGTAGACATGCTCTGACTTGCCAGACTCCTTCGCATGAGGATCCTCGACTGTGATGTTGAACATCTTTGAGAAATGCTGTCCTAGGCAATGGGAAGTTGCAGCCTGAATACCACGGCCTGTTGCAGGAATGAAACCCTCGATAGTTGTGGTGTAGTCGGCTCCAGGGAACTTCTCGTTGACGGTCTTGGTTCCCTTGACGACAGGAACGGCGAGCAAGTTTTGGTAGACGTCAGAGTACCAGTCCAAGATTTGCAGAACCTCTGCGCTAGCCTCCTCTTTTGTAAGATGCGCAGTGTGACCTTCTTGCCAGAGGAACTCGCGTGATCGGATGAAAGGCATAGGGTCTAGAGGAAGATTAGACAGAAAATCAATGGTAGTATTTCCAAGGACATACGCTTGAACTCCCACCGAACGACGTTGTTCCATTGGTTAAGCTTCAGGGGTAGATCGCGATGGGACTGGATCTTGCGAGCGAAGTAAGGGTACATGGCGGTCTCGGAGGTAGGGCGCACAGCGACAGGCTTCTCGAGGTCAGACTTGCCACCTTTTGTGACCCAGGCTACTTCGGCAGCAAAACCCTCAACGTGCTCCTTCTCCCTCTCCAAGTTGTCTGCGCTGATGAAGATTGGGAAGTAGGCGTTCCTGACTTTGAGTGTCTTGATCTGCGCGTCGAACCAGGACTTGATGTTCTCCCAGATGGCATACGAGGAGGGTTCGAGAATGTAGCATCCGGCAACATCGTAGTATGAGATCATCTGACCCTTGGTAATGACCTGCTGGTACCATTCTCCAAGATCAACTTCTTTTGCGACATCGATACCGATGAGCGCTGATCCCTCAATCTGTTGCAATGTCAACATGGCGAAAACTCCAAGCACAGCTCCAATCGGGGGAGCGGACCTTCTTCTTTTGTTGCTGAGGCTTCTTAGCAGCCTTTTGGGGGTTGCCATCCTTCTTGCTCTTCTTGGTCTCAGAAATGGAAAGATCCTTCATCTGGCCGTCGGCTGCCGTAGCTTCAGCCATACTGGGTCTGTTGTAGGTGGCGAATGTTAGCACAATTCAAGGTACAAACAATGTAGCAGCAGTCTCTATAATAGCCTCAAGCTTCCGGGAAAGGTGTGTATAGTAGTGATTGCTCAGATGGCCCGTATTTGGCAAGTGTAGGAAGTGTTATAGGGGATGTTGGCGGGGCAGGGCGGGGTATCTGACGCGACTTGAGAATGCTTACATGCAATTGAGGAACGAAGAGGATATTTTATAAGCGGATTAGACGTGTCAGAAGGGAGATGTGTCACAGCTACAATCAAGGAGCTTGGGCAGGTGAAAAGGGCGGTCTTGGGCGCAGGCTCGTGTGAGGGCAGCGTCCAATGTGTGGAGGGGCCGAGTCATCGGCGCAAGGGTCCACTTTAGCGCGACTGGCACAGCAGCGGAGCTACAATTCGCCGACGCGGGCGGCGGGCGTGCTGGAGATTTTCTGGACCGCGTAGAGGCAGCAAACAACACAGCGATACAGCTTGGAATACGACGACATGGCAGGAATCTTCGAGCAGTCACGCAGCGGGGGCACTCTGTGTAAGCTTGGCCAGCTCTGGTAGCGGAGAACAAGAACATGGACTAACTGGCAAAACAGTCCTTGGAGGCCAGAAAATCAGCGGCCAGGACATTCGCGACCAGAACGTCCTTGCGACAACAGCCATTGCCAATGTCGTCAAGTCGTCCTTTGGGCCTTCGGGTCTCGACAAGATGATGGTTGACGACATTGGCGATGTCACAGTCACCAACGACGGTGCCACCATCCTCAGTCTGCTCGACATCGAGCACCCCGCAGGCAAAATCCTCGTCGACCTCGCACAGCAGCAGGACAAGGAGGTTGGAGATGGTACAACTTCGGTCGTCATAATAGCAGCTGAGCTGCTGCGGAGAGCCAACGAGCTCATGAAGAACAAGATTCACCCCACCACAATCATTACAGGTTACCGGCTGGCTCTGAGGGAGGCTGTGAAGTATATGAACGAGAACATTAGCACAAAGGTCGATGCTCTGGGCCGGGACTCGCTAGTCAACATTGCAAAGACATCCATGTCCAGCAAGATCATTGGCTCCGACTCTGACTTCTTCGCCAACATGGTCGTAGACGCCATGACCGCCGTCAAGATGACAAACAATAAGAACGAGGTCAAATACCCGGTAAAAGCTGTCAACATCCTCAAGGCACACGGTCAAAGCGCTACCCAGTCGATACTCGTCAAGGGCTATGCTCTCAACTGTACAGTCGCCTCGCAAGCTATGAAGACACGTATTACCGACGCCAAGATTGCCTGCCTCGATATCAACCTGCAGAAGGAGCGAATGAAGCTGGGTGTGCACATCACCATTGACGATCCGGAACAGCTGGAGAAGATCCGCGAGCGCGAGGCTGGCATTGTTACTGAGCGTATTGAAATGATCTTGAAGGCTGGTGCCAACGTCATCTTGACCACAAAGGGAATCGATGACCTCTGCCTAAAGCACTTTATCGAGAAGGGCGCCATGGCGGTGCGAAGGTGTAAGAAGGAAGATCTACGAAGGATAGCAAAGGCCACCGGAGCTACCCTAGTCAGCACACTCTCTGACTTGAATGGCGACGAGAAGTTTGAGGCAGCCAATTTGGGTTATGCAGAGGAGGTATCACAAGAGCGCATCTCAGACGACGAGTGTATCCTTGTCAAGGGCACCAAGGCTTTCTCTTCTGCATCCATCATCCTGCGAGGAGCAAACGACTATGCCCTCGATGAGATGGAGCGATCGGTGCATGACTCATTATCTGCCGTCAAGCGCACGCTGGAGAGTGGACGTATTGTCCCAGGTGGAGGCGCCGTTGAGACTGCGCTGCACATCTACCTGGAAGAGTGGGCAACGTCAGTGGTAAGTTGATTCTAACTTCCTTTTACAGTATTCTGTTGCTAACCATATATGTAGGGTTCTCGTGAGCAGCTTGCGATAGCCGCCTTTGCACAATCTCTACTCGCCATCCCGAAGACTCTGGCAATCAACGCAGCCAAGGATGCCACTGAGCTGGTTGCTAACCTACGATCGCGACATGCTCTTTCACAACGTACAGTGAACCCAGCTGACCCCTCATCGCAAGATGCCAAGCAGCTTGCAAAGTCCAAGAACTACAAGAACTACGGTTTGGATCTTACCAATGGCAAGGTACACGACACCCTCAAGGCTGGTGTGCTGGAACCCAGCATGAGCAAAGTCAAGCAGTTGAAGTCGGCAGTGGAGGCGTGTGTTGCTATTATGCGAATCGATACCCTCATCAAGCTGGATCCGGAAGAGCAAGGTGGCGGTGACGATGGGCATGGACATTAAAATCGCGTAAAGTTTATGCGGAAAAGAGATAGTCCAGAAAAGATAACGACAGTGTAATGAAAGGCTTCGACATGCCCACGTGCACAACCACAACCCTCGCTGCGCTGTGCATACAGAATCAACCTTGACTAACTTGAAATATCTGACAGCTGCGGCTTAGGCGCAAGGCTCTTTGGGGCGGGACATCATACCATAATGAGGGGTTGATCAACCCGTGTCGTCCCAAACGAGCCGTTGGCGTACCGGTGAGGTTTGTACACCCCGAGTAGTGACCGAGGGTTGCCTGGCGGTCACTTTAAAGGGAAGTAATAGGGCTAGCGGCTGGTGCTGTGGCCTATCAGAATGCTGGCTACACGCCACGGGCGGATACCGCCTGGCTGTGCTGGCTCAGCTCGCTTACCCTTGAACGTCACCGCACCATGTTCGCTGTACAATCGCTGGCCTGTCGACGAGCAAAATACAAACATCAACGTGGAGGGAACGAAAAGACGAAAACATCAAGATTGAAATTTGAAGACGTGCAACAGCGGGAGTGCTGTGAAAATTGGGAAATGCAGGGCAATACTGCTCCTGCAAGACTCATCTCCCTCTGCAGGTCGAATTCCTTGGCACGCTACCCCGGCTGAACAGCCTTCATTGTGCTCGTCCCAGATCTGTACTGATATGCAAGCCCCAGCGGGTCTCTGCGTTGCTGCCCGCCTGACGGCGCTACAATTAGCATCGCTTGTATCCCAAACCGTATGTAGGTACCTAGCGCAGTGAAATCTACATTTAGCCCATGGATTCCCCCCTTTCTGCTACTGTTCTTCCAATCCATACCAATGGCATCCGTTATGCTCGGACCTTTGCTACTCGCCCTTCTGGCTCAAGATGGTGCTGCTGCTATCATGGCCGCACCGCGGGCTGCAATTACCCCAGCACCAGTGCTAAAGAGGGCCGTCACTACCATTGGATACATCTCTACACGAGAATACGATGGCACTACGTACTGTGAGTTGATATCCTCAGTCTACTCTGGTTGTTACTGACCTGCCAAAGGGGATACAATTACAGCCAATGAACAAGGCAATGCAATCGCGACATCTAGCAACCTGTTCCAGATCTGTGACCCAGCAAAGCCATGCACGTTCTTTTCCTGCTCAGGTGACTATGTCATGATGCCGAGTTCCTCAATCTATTGGTACGTTGACTCCATGAACCATGTCTTGTCTTTACCCACAGTTGCTAATTCATATCGTGCAGTGGAGGAGCATCTAGCACGTGTAGTTACTGGGAATTGGCCACGGATATCAACGACAAAAACCCACTGACTAACTACTGGTGTGATGCCAAGACAAGTGTTGGAGGCATCATCTACATGACGACGCCAGAAGCTGGTGAGTCAATCTCTCTGCAATGTCGCTAAATAATACTACTGACATGATATTCTACAGAAGCAACAACAACCGCAGGGGTCAAGTCTACTACCACCAAGGCAGCCTCTGTAACCTTCACATCGGCTACTAATACTGTAACGGACGATGTGACATCCATTGCTAGCCCAGGGCCAGGCTTGGGCGAAACCAACAATGGCGGCGACTTGACTAAGAGCAAAAAGAAAGGCTCAACACCAATAGGACCCATAGTCGGCGGTGTCGTCGGCGGTATCGCAGTTCTAGCCGCCATAATCATCGCCGTCTGGATCATCCTCAAACGCAAGAAGAAGAACAAGACCGACAACATCACTCAAACCGCACAAGGTCCTCCCGCTCCTCCTGCAATGCAACAAAACCCCCAGCAGCCACCCGCAGGCGTCCAATACTACCACGAACAAAAGCCTGTTCCCCAACCACAGGTACAGCAAGCACCTCCCCAGCCATACGGTCACTACGACCCCAACGCCCAACAAGCCCCCGCACAGCCCTTCTACGACCCAAATGCTCAACCGGCATACGCGCAGCAGTTGCAAGCCGGATACGGCGCACCTTCTCCAAACAAGACCCCCGCACCCTTGGCTACCGGCCAACAAACGAATTCATATTACGCGGATAACGCGCCGGTTAGTCCTGTGCCGCAGTATTCGCCTAGCCCATCACCCGCGATCCCAGCCAATGTGAGTGAGTTGTCAAGCGGAAGAATGTAAATATATTGCTGGGTATGAGATGGGATGAATAAAATGAGATTATATCATGGTTATTTGTATCGCGTCTTATTTAGCGTGGGTGGACAGGAAGGCGGTATGCGAGCATGAATGTTGATAGCGATGACCTTGAATTAATGATACCCTTTAATGAACTGGACAAGCGTGTGAGTAGATATTCCTGAGTTCATGTTTTCATTGGCTGTCTACAATGCCTAGCGAGTTAATATGTACACACATACCGTTTTGCTCTAGCATACGGCACGCACGAAATTCAAAAAGTCCTCTACTACTTAACCCCAGGTGCAATTACTACCTCAACCTCCACAAAAAAGACATCTAGAGGTAAGCTGACTTTTAGGGTTCAGAGGGTCTGCGGCGCAGCACACTGTACATATCAGTGATGCATAACCGTGCCACATTAGCAGTTTTGTAAATTCCATGAATACCAGGAAGGAAGCGGTTATTGGACAGTATGAGCAACGCCAAGTGATTGTTTAATTTCCACATGCTTCGTACTATTATCAAGGTTCTACGCTAGGGCCTAACTTGTAACTCCCGTTATCGTTGGGTCCTTTTTGGGTAGGACCCCATAGTTCTTAACCTGGACACCCTAAGTCTTTTTCACCGGGACTGTTCAATTGAATAAATATTCGGTCCGAATTTGAGAAATTTACAAGACTTTTCAATGTCAATATTTTCGGTGCTTTTAATTATCCTAAAGAAGAGATGAATGCGATTCGAGACGGGGGTTTCGATTGTTAACGTAGTAAAGTATCGACAGCCAGCATGCGATCTACAACACCTCAGAGTACGAAACCGTAAAGTTACATTTTTGAACTTTCCATATGCATTTCAGATGTGTAAAAGGTTGGTATCAGCACGCTCTTAATCAGATTCACCAAGGTTGCTGCCTTTTGCGGAGGCACTTAGACACGGTAAAGTCGATACAATGTGCCTGTAAGGATACATGTGCAGCCTTTAATACCTGGAGACTGATTATAAGCAGTGATTTTCCTGATAATTTCAACAATGATCAAACTGTTCGAGTCTCCTGTTGGAGAGGCTCATCTCGATAAGGACAACGTCCTATGTACACTGAACCACTCGCTCACTGAAATATGGGATATCTACTGCATTAACTGTATTTCTGGTTAGCAGAGAGGTACTAAATGTCACCAAAGCTGCATGGTATGTAGATGGGAGTTGGGTTGAGGGAAATCGCAGTTTGGGTTCGGCGCAATAGAGAAGTAGAACGTTATTGCCCACCCCCGCAATGCAGCAATCTTGTCGCGACCAATGGGTGTTTTCACTCGATACAAGTGCACTGGTAGTGACCAATATGTTTTCTGGGAGTCTAATTGTTGCATTTAAGCTGTTATCCGTAAATAATGCGGAACTGGGTAGTTTCCAGTCCCCGGAACCAACCCGTCTCTTTCTCACCTCACCTTCTCCGTCAGAAAAGACAAGATAGGACTTATGTGTACGCCACATCGCTCAACAACATGCTTAATTGAACAAGCCTTATTGAACACACATAAGCCCTGGTTCTAGACAATACTTTGTATTTGTAGTGCAACAACCAAAACACACAATGTCTCGACCATACGACAACACAAACATTGACCAACTCCAACGCGATGCAGACGACTGTCTACTTACGTACGGAATAGCCTTCCACCCCAAGATCATCACATCTATAGATGGAATCTATGTCGAAACCGCATCCGGCCACCGCATGATGGACGTACGTTGCCCTCAATCCCAAACTCCCCCAAACTCCCACACTAGATTTCCCATCACAGTTCACTTCCGGCCAAATGAGCACCCTAATCGGCCATGGCCACCCAGAAGTCGTCAACGTAGTCCAAATCCACGCCCAGCACTTCGATCACCTCTTCAGCGGCATGATCAGTCCTCCCGTCATCAACCTCGCCAAACGCCTCACCAGCGTCGCCCCACCAGGCCTCGACAAAACCTTCTTCCTCAGCACTGGCGGCGAAGGCAACGAAGCCGCCACCCGCCCCGCCAAGTTCTTCACTAGGAAATTCGAAATCGTCGGCCTCGCAGCGTCCTGGCACGGTATGACGGGCGCATCGCTCGGTGCACAGTATCACGCTGGACATTCTGACTACGGACTAAACATGATTGGGAATTTAGCGCTGCCGACACCGAATTCTTATCACTCGATTTTCCGGAAGGGAGATGGGACGTATGATTGGGAGACGGAGCTGAATTACGGGTTTGATTTGCTAGATAAACAGTCTTGCAGGTCGCTTGCTGCTGTTATCGTTGAGCCGATTTTATCCAGTGGGGGGGATGTTGGAACTTCCGCCTGGGAACCTCAAAGCGTTGAAGCAGCATTGCGAGAAGAGGGGGATGCTACTTGTTGTCGATGAAGCGCAGACTGCGCTTGGGCGAGCAGGCGATATGTTCGCTTTTACACATCATCCAGAGGACGAGGGCGTGGTGCCTGACATTCTTACTCTAAGCAAGACGCTGGGGAACGGTATGCCGCTCAGTGCGGTCCTGACGTCGAATAAAATCGCCAGTCAGGCGAAAGAGAATGGGTTTTTGTTATACACTACACATATTAACGATCCGCTTCCTGCAGCTGTCGGAGACAATGTGCTCGATCCAAGCGGCTCAGTGTCAAACTTCAAGCTGAACTCAAACGGCTTCAATCTCGCTACGGATGTATTGGCAATGTGCGTGGTCGCGGTCTCATGGCTGGTGTGGAGATTGTCAGTGATAGGAAGACGAAGGCTAGTGCTCCTGGTGTCGGAGCTACAGTGTCGCAGAAGATGGACTTGTAGGCGCAGTTGGCTACTATGGCGTCTTTTGGTGGCGTTTTCCGGATTGCACCTCCGATTACTGTTACAAAAGTGCAGTTGGATGTTGCATTGGGGATTATTGAGGAGGCGCTGAAAACGACCTCAGACACTATGCCGTTGTATGTGACAGATGAGATTGCGGTGGATGGCCAGCCTATTGTGAAGTCAAACATCTAAATTTGGCACTATGGAGTTTCATATTGCGAGTATTGAACTTTGTTTATTTTTATCCATATAAGAACACCCGAGAGAAAACTCTGGTAATAAACGTCATCATCTGTCAAACATATCAAAATTCACTTGCAAGCAAAAATGAGAAGAGATGTTGTAACCAATGACAAGATTTTGACATTGTTAAGCTATAGACAAATCGGGTTGACAAAGATAGTATATACAGAAAAGAATCCACCAGCTCAGCTAGCACAGCACGTAACCAAAAACCACGCCTGTCATCTTCCAGTCGTTCAGAGAGCCATCAGGGCCATTCGTTTAATCCTCTGAGAAGAATTTATGGGCAGTTGACAGTGATCTGGGCGTTACCAGTGGAGAAGTAACCCTCGGTGGCAACAATCTGGTAGTAGTGCTGGCCAAGTCTCATGCCCTTGCTGGCCCAGGCGTCAAAGTGAGTCTTCATGTTGACGGAGCCGGAAGAGCGCTTGTTCTGACGAACAGACCAATACTGCTGAAAGGTCCTGGTGCCATCAATGGAGGGCTGGTTGGTGCGGGTCGACTGAGCGATCTTGTAGGAAGAGCCGTCAGAGTTGACAGTACCCTTGTTCTGGGACTGGGAAGAGGGGTCGTAGGTGCCGAAGTTCTCGACGACGTAGTACTCGACAAGGGGATTGCGGGTCCAGCCGTAGACGGCAAGGTAGGAGTTGCCGTTGTAGTTGTAGCTACCAGAGTAGGTGATGGTACTGTATCGATGTTAGTGTCTCTAGTATATCAGAATTGAATAAGGCAGTCCATACCGGGCAGTTCCTGGGTTCCATCCCTTTCCACCGACGAGGTTGCCACCGCTTCCCCAGCTTACGCTGTAGCTACCACCGGCACCGTTGGTGTAGGTAGCGCGGGCACCGCCATCAGACCACCAAGACCAGAAGCAGCCGTTGTGGGTACCCTCGCCGTTGGGGGTGTTCTGACGGGCAACGAGAGACACATCAGTGGCGGGGGCGGCAAGAGCGCCGGTAGCCGCAACAGCAGCGGTGATGATGGAGGTGAAAGAAACCATTTTTATGGTGTTGTTGTTGAGTGAATGAAGCGAAAGGAAGTGGTGGTTGTGGTGATGGTTGGTGAGGATAGTCTACCTTGGAGCCAGCTCAGGATGGCTTTATACTCGCCCTCCTATGGCATGTGAGTGGAAACAAGACCGGATGTTGTGCACAGCCAAGACAAACACCCTCGTCATGGTAGCGGTGTTCCATCTGCTAGAGTAATATCAGCTAGGATGTAGATCGAGAAACAGGCAGGGCGGAAAGTAGGCAGTAATCTGTTCGACTTGGCTTTTTCGTAAAGAAAGTGCTCACGAGGAGCTGGCTGGAGCCAATGGGAGAAGAGACGTGACCAAAAGTTTCGTATTTGGAGAAAAACGAGCAATGATGGTTGGCTACAGAGATGAAACGGTATGGGTGGGGCAAGGCTGTGAAGTCATTTACTTAGAGGTTGCAATCTGCTCCGTCCGGACATGTGGCTCCCAAAAGGAATCGCGCTACATCAGCGGCGGAGACCACCCTCTCCACTCAAGCCTCTCACTGTTCCGCATGCATATGCCAAGCTTTCCACTTTTAATCTTTGCCCACGGTTAAACAATCGCTTGGCAGGAGTCGCGAATCCAACAGCCGTGAGCTTGTTTAATCAAAGTGAAGCCGTGAAACACGTGTGGCGCTTGGGCGTGGCGAAAATGATGCGTAGAGCTGACCAGTCATTCCTGACCCCGGGCCTATTATGGAATGCGATATACAGATTGAAAGGGCGCTGTGTAATGGGTGTACCTTGGTGCCCAGACGGTGGAAGCGTAAGCAGTTGGTGATGAGAAGGGGCGAAGATCTGCGGCGAAGGCGTTCAACTCCCCGATGAAATCCGCAAATTTGCCGGACCCACGTGTCATGCGCTCCGGGTTCTCGTGTAAACGCATCTGTTCTAGACCAAGACCAGAAGGCCAGCAAAAGAAACTTCCTTCCTTCCAAAAAAACTTTCCGGATGACGGGATACTCCACCGTTGACGGTGGAAGTCTCCACGCCGCGCCGAGCCAGGCGGGGGCCGGGTTTCATCAACATCGCCGCCAGAACCAGGCCATCGTCACGCAACAGCCGCACATCCGAGAAATGCCTGTGTCCTTAACCAGGCCCATAAGCAATATAACCAGGGTGTGTGTAAATGATTTTCTTCGTTGTTGTGCGCTGGCGCATGAAGCCATGACAAACACACGCTACATTTGCTTCTGCCGGCTCGACAAGCTACACTAGCCTTATAGGCATACCGCTTGCCGACATAAAACGGAGAATTATATATGCCTTCATCGTGCTAGTGATCTGGGGAACTTTAGCCCCACGAATCACCATTTAACCACAGTTATTATGCAAGCCAGCTTTACAAATCGCCATTACTAGCCTTTTCCTTAGTACAATAGGCGCCTGCACCCCGGATTTGAGGGGTACATATGCATGGAATTACGCCCTCGGGTGCCGAGTGTCTTGGTACTGCACAAGATGTCTTGTCCAGGCTTGTCCCGGTGGAAGAAGTGGTGTTGTGTGGAGCTTGATTCAACCGTTGTTTTATGAAGGGTAAGGCCGTGTACGAAGGACTGTGCGGAGAATGAAACAACAACTTGAAAGGCTCAGAAAAGGCTCAGAATATGCGCAGAGCTGATATTGCGTAGTATCGAGGTTGTGCCGTACGCCTCATGGCCCCTTTACGATGCAGAAAGCAATATCAAGGTTTTTGCATGTCGTTGTCGTAATCAGCCGGTTGGGTTGGGTCCAGTAAGCAGCCGTACAGCTCTGCATGATGTACGTTAGAAGTATCGATGACGAATTTGATTTTGTGAAAATTCCACCCAGTGCTGTATCTTTCCTATTGACCTTGTGTGGCAACTGTAAAGATTTGAGGAGTTGAGAGACGCCACTCTTGTCTGTTTTCAAAGTATCTTGGCATCAACTCTATTCTTACCGTGAAATCTTCAACAGAACCAAATTCCTGTCAAAAAAACTATTGAGAGACTAAACAAAGCAGTAACAGCAAGAGAAAAATCCCCATAGCGAGAGGACAAGATGGTGTCTTTCGAACCAAGACATGTTGCTCGCCGACGACAGTGTTTCAACACTGTCTCACTACAACCTCACGATATATAACCACACTCATCAAATACATTGTGAAAAAAACCTCACAACACAGAGAGATCATATACACACAAAACACTTACACAATGCGATCCTCTCGACCATATATACGATTATCTCCAACCACGATCCTAGAATCCATCAAAAGAGATCTACTGATACACAACCAACAACCCAACACACACACTAAACATCTAACCACTAGATATAATACTCCAAAAAGTCCAAATGTGCCAATACAACTTCGTACACTTCGTAGCCTGCGACCACACGGTCCCAGACAAGGACGTCCCCCTCCACCGTTGCAAGTCGAAGCTGCGCACACTATGGCAGAAGGCTTGCGAACAGTCCAAGACGGAGGTGAGTTCGCAGCCTGGGCTGTGTGAGGACTGTATAGACAAGTTGGAGGGTAAGCTATGAAGATACAGTAAAAGGAGTTACGTGCACAGGGGAAGGAGAGGAAGAAGTTGTGAGGTGAGGTGGGGAAGAGCTACGCTGAATTTTGCGAGCTTGGGTAGAGGAGAGGTAAAAATGGATAGGTGTAGGGCATGGGTATGGAGTTCAGGTATATACAGACTGTATTGGGTTTTTTGCCATCAGACATGGGATGGGATATCATTATGACAAAAATTTCAGGAGTTCTGTACTGCTTTATTGATTCACACATGGAGCATATGTAGAGATAGAGATAGATCACCACTAAAGGTGAAAAAATAAGAATAGTCATTGATACAAAGCGAGGGTATATAGCATTGCATGCTGTGATGCTTTCCAGTAAAAAAAAGAGAAACAGAAAAAAGAAATGTAGTATCCAACTCCACGCTAATAGGTCGTGATTCCAGTCATAAACATCGTGAGTCCATGCTTCTCTTTCACCTTACCAAATGAAGAAAGAAAATGGAAAAACAAGGCACCGTCCCATTCTAAAAACCTCCAACGCGCATGACTAATGCACAGAAATCTTTCTCGCTCTAGCAGCCTGCAAAAACGCACCATAACTCCAAGTCAAATGCTGAGCACCACGCATGTACCCAGTCACACGGTCAAACTGCTCACTCATGCTTCCCTCAGCATCCACATGCGTCTTGACTACTTGGAGGAACTCGTCACCGGTGCTCTGAAGGCGCTCGATGACGGAGTGAAAGAGGGCGTCTGTGGGGCCAAAAGTGCCAACGTCGACATCTAGTGACGAGCTACCGAGGAGAGACTCGTAAAAGGGAAGGCCGACATCGGTAACAGTCAAGTTGCCGGTGGCAGAGATGTGCGAGGCAGTTCGGTACAAAATCTCAGCGGCGGAAGAGGTGCACAGAAACCATGGGTTTCCACCACGATTCGAGTTTCCATAGCCATCGTATACATCTTCGGGATAACGGCCAAGGCCCGTTCCCTGGAACGTGAATTCGTCTACATTGTCATCATCGTCATCCTGATCAGAGGGATTGCTGTTGATGGGGAAGCGGTCGCGCTGGTCCCGAGTCAAAGCAAGTAGAGAAACAAGAATCTCGTCAGACCACGGAGGATACACGACATCATCTTCAGATTGGCTCTTAGGAAGGGCGTGCAAAGAGCCGAGAAGCAGCCCGCAGTCGAGGCCACTCCTCTTGCTCCATAGCGTCTCAACAAGTTGTCCTTTTTGCGCATTCCAGAATTTGCCCAACAGGTTCTCAATATACCCAGCTTGCTTTTGGTACCAGTCCGCCGCACCAAAATCTCCAAAGGTTCTGGCAAGGTGACTGCCTTCCTTCAGACTCCTCGCGCTGACCATGAGGGTGAAGAAGTGCAGGCCCTCGACCTCTTCCCAGAGATCGAATCCCGACTGGTTCCAGAAATGGCTGACATACTCGAGATCTGCTTTGATGATGCTACGAGGGGGCATTTCAGCAGTGTAGAATGAACCAAAAAAGTCTTCGGAGTCAGGAGAGCTCCATAGTGAGGGATGGGATGCGTTGTACTCGCGTAGATAGTGCATGAGCGTCAGTGCGCGAAGGGCCGGCCCATCGCGCTGAGGTCGTCCCCACGAGCCGGTGAATGGCTTGCCATCGACTTGGAACTTGGGCTCACCTAGCCCGGAAAGGTCGTCAAATGTGCCAGACGGGTTTGAGGTGCGCTGGATGTCACCTTGGAGGGAGGTATATGCATCTAGGATGATGGATAGAGAAGACGCGCGCGAGGACGAGGGATCATCGGCATATATGTTGACGAGGGTATCCATGGTGATAGCAGCGTCACGGACCCCTGTGACGAGATTAGTACCAAATGATTGCGGGATGACGTCTGAGAGATACTCACATTGGAACCAGTAGTCCGGACCGTCTTGACTGGGGCTGGCAATGACAGTGCCCTCAGCCACACCTTTCCCTTGGACATTGCTACCTCCAGGCGCAACGTTGGCGAGCAGTTTGTCCAGTGCAATGCGCTCTTCATGCTTTATCCAGGCATCAAGTGTGTCTTGGAGCGGTTGTTGTTGCTGCACACGACTGGAAGCGGCAAAAGTGGCCAGGGAGGGAAGACGAGGTATTGATAGTGTGTAGGCATGGTGGACGAAGCCTGTGAGGAGGAACACGCGAGGGAGCATGATGAGCGCCGGGAATGCCCACTAGGGTGTGGATGGCTGGATGGCTGGCTTGAGACAAAAAAGAAGCTCAGGTCTACTGGCAGCTCATATGGGAGCCTTCAGAGTCGACGATGACGAGGAAGAGAAGCGCGATGTCACGAAGACTAGGCGGTAGCACGCGAAGTTGGGCATAAAGAGTCGTCGGGACCCGTAGGCCATCGACGCCTTCCGTGCGCGCGCCATGCCCCGGACCAGCGACTATGACCGTGTGGATGATGACAGTGGGCCCTCGTGCCAGTGTTAGCGGGCGGCGTGGACGAGTAGGAGGCGGTGGGCGAGGTCGCGCGGACAGTTGCTCGTCCCGATCCAGCTGGCGGATGATGGTGAAAGGACCACACGAGTCACGGCTAGCAACGTCACGCGACCCGCCCTCGTGGATCTGGGGTAGGCGGTAGGCGGTAGGCGGTAGGCAATGCAAGGCACTCAGAGGCTCGACATACGACACACCAGGGTCATGACAGCGCACCACAAAGAAATATGCCCATGGGCCTCGGCATGGAGAAATGACGCTTTCTTTTGCACCTGAAAGAAGGAATGCGCATAGCAAATAGCCTGGCTGCTACCAAAAAACCCATAGCTTTTCCCCGGAATGTACACGCCAAGACGGCTCACCCCATGTCTGGCCCCCGAGCGGCTCTCGGGAATCAAGATGCAGGGCGTTTTGGCCGAAGGTACCCAGCAGTAGACAAATCCCACGAGTACATGTACCTAATACATACATAAATACATACATGTGATAATATGCGACATGGCATATGTGCCGAAGGCTAGAACCTTCCCGGCATGCTCCGAGGTCCGGGTGTGTGAGGACTGCAAGGCGTGAGGGGTACATGGTGTCGGCTACTTGCATGTAACCGCCGCCCAATGAGCATCGGCTATTCCCAATACATGCCTCAAAGTCAACATCATGTACGTGTGTACGCATGTACATTCATCTCGGACTGGTTGAAAGGCATCAAAACAGTCGACTCTGAAACTGTCTCTTGGGCATTGGCCCTATATGCGATGACTGTTTGATCCGGTGAGTTTCCACATCTCACGTTGTCTGATCAGCCAGCCAATCATTCCATGCCGCGTACTTGAAGACGCACGTTCATCATTCACCCCCCATTCAACATGCTCTTACACAAAACGCACTTCCTGCGCACTAACCTGCGTATGCTGCGCAACTCCGGGTACCGGATATGCCAAGCCTCCCTTTCCACGACAGCTAGACGCACCAACTACGACGCTACAATCCAGAACCTGAAGATTGGCTCTCACACCCGTGTCATCTTCCAGGGATTCACTGGGAAACAGGCTACTGCCAATGCAAAAGAGTCGATAGAATGGGGGACAAATGTAGTCGGCGGCGTCAAGCCCAATGGCTCCGGGGAGCATCTGGGACTGCCTGTTCTGCCCTCTGTGAGAGCAGCAATGGAGCAGCTGAAGCCTGATGCAACGGGAATCTATGTTGCAGCGCATCAAGCCACTGCCGCAATTGAAGAAGCAATCGAAGCAGAGGTACCGCTTATCGTCGCAGTGGCTGAGCACATACCATTGCATGATATTATGAGAGTGAGTCAACAGGCTCTGAACAACATGTCAGAGACACAGAGCTGACGCGGCAGTAAGATCCATTCCATGCTGCAATCCCAGTCAAAGTCACGGCTTGTAGGTGCCAATGCCCCGGGAATCATCTCAGCTGTTGGGAAATGTAGGATTGGCTTCCAGCCACTACCAACATTTTCACCTGGTCACATTGGTGTCGTGGCAAAATCTGGCACCCTCTCCTATGAGACTGTAGCATCCTTGACAAGAGCCGGGCTCGGACAGAGTTTATGTATTGCAGTCGGTGGAGATGTGATTGCAGGAACAAACTTTGTAGATGCCCTCAAAGTCTTTGAGCATGATCAGGACACCGAGGCTATTATTATCGTAGGTGAACTCGGTGGCACAACCGAAGAAGAGGCTGCGGATTGGATCAGAGATTATAGAAAGCGTGTGAAAGATCCCAAACCCATTGCCGCTGTCATTGGAGGCTTCCAGGCACCACATGGCAAGGTCATGGGCCATGCTGGAGCGTGGGTTGGCCTTGGAGAAGGCACCGCAGAGGCAAAATATAAGGCACTCGAGAGTGCTGGGGTGACTATGGTTGATCATCCTGCGAAATTTGGTGGGGTGATGAAAAGCATTCTTGCAAAGTCTGGTCGCAATGTTGGGAAGATTGTAGGCCCACACTTGTCAAAGTACTCTCCATTATGTTTTAACTTGTTACAGGAACAGTCAGCAGCTCAGCAACGCCGTTCATATCACACATCTTCAAACCGAAGGCCAGCCATAAGCTCCTCTAAAACAGGTTCCCCATTCACACAAAAGCGCTCCCTCCACCTTTCCAGAGAGCAATCCACAGCCCTCCTCGAATCCTTCAATATCAACCTCACCATACCCCCAGAAGGCTCACCATCAACCCACTACCTAGGCATTTCTCCCGACCGCTCCAGCCGCTCTCCCTCCATCATTGCCGCCCCAACAGCCAACCCCTCCAAACTGGCCCACCGCATTCGCCGTTTCCCCTTTGACTACCGCACAGGACCCACTCCATCTGTCATTGCCGCCGCAACAGCGCACATGCAACTCTCAGCGCTACCACCAAAATCCAAATCACAACTTGTCCAAACCATCCACAACCTATGGAACCTCTACACATCCAAAGAAGCCATAGACGCCCACGTCAAACTCGCTCTATCCGTCGAATCCGACAGCCTCCTCTTCTACGACCCCTACCTCTTCTTCGACGATGCAGCCTTCAAATCCGGCAACCGCCAGTCCGACCTCCACGCTCTACGCGATCAGACAGCAATAAGTGCTACCGACCGAGAGGCAGAAGAGGCAGGAATCGTCTACATTCCTCTTGAATCACCTAGTAGTAGTTCCGACTCAAGTCCTAAGAATCTAGTCGGCACCCTAGTCAACGGCGCAGGCCTCGCCCTCAACGTCCTCGACACCCTCGCCCTGCGCCTCACACCTACCACATCCGCTGCCAATTTCCTTGATACGGGCGGCAAAGCTACGTCTGCGACTATCAAAACGAGTTTCAAGCTTCTCCTCGCTGATCCGCGCGTCAGCGTTGTTTTCGTGAATATTTTCGGGGGACTGACGCTCTGCGATATGATTGCTGAGGGAATCATCATGGCGTTTAGGGATGTAGGGGTGGAGAAACCGGTTGTGGTGCGGTTGAGGGGCACGAATGAGGAGAAGGGGCAGAAGGTGCTCGAGCAGGCCAAACTGCCGATTTATGTTTTTGATGATTATGAGGAGGCGGTGGGGAAGGTGGGGGAGTTGGTTGGTAAGGCTGTGAATGCGTAGAGAAAGAGAGAGGAAGGATGAGATTAAAATGATTAGATTCGTCGCAGTCACACACTCTCGCTCGCCCGTTTTCCCCCTTCCAGTCCCAAATACCCCACCCATTGCGAATAAACATTGTGCCGCTGCGTCCGGAATTTCCCCTTCCTTCCACATCCACCGCCATTGGCCCTGTTCTACGCAAAAGCATGGGGGACGACATACGTAACAAAAAACCAAATCACAAAAAACCTCTCGCATACGCCATGGAAGCTCAAAAAAAGGTGTAGTACATCGGAGTATAAAAAATAAGAGTTATCTCCAGGGCCGGAAGAAAGTGGGGAAGAAGGAAGGGGAGGCACATTCCAAACGATGGATCGAAAAAACCAAAGTAACCCAAAACATATCGCAGAAATTCGTTTGACAGTAAGTTGGAAAAAAAGGAAGATGGCCGGAGGGAATATAAAGATGACATTATACAAAGTATTGGAATGCGGTTCTGTCAGAAAGTTAGTTATGTGCGCTTGAATGGTTGGTTCTAAAGATGGATAAAAACTTACCCAATCGCTGCCATGACTCCCAGACCAACAAGTGCCCTCCGTGTCACTTTTTCCTTGGTCATCTTTTGTTCGGTCGTGTACGCCTTTTTGGCGAGCTTGTTGAGGCGCTCCTCGGCCAAATCTTCCTCGTCTAGCACTTCTTCGATTCCGCGCTTCGACGACCGCGTGACCGATGGCGAGCCGCCCTCGAGTTTCTGTGCTTCGGCAACCATGCGCTTGGCCTCCTCAATCATGGCCGTTGGGTCTTCGGGCTCGGGGAGTGCGGCGTGGTCGTGTGGCACATCGACCGTGACGCTGGTGCTGGTCTTTTCCGTGTCGCCATTCGTCTCAACGGTTTGCTTCACTTCAATGTGAACTGTGCCCTCCTGGACCTCGAGCTCTGGCTTCTTTTCAGCATCCAGCGCCGCCTCGACTTCTTGCTCCACCTCTTTCACCTCGCCCTCGATCGATGACGCAATCGACTCGTCAGGCGCTATGCGCCTGGCGATGCTGTTTTGAAGCGCAGTTGACGGGGTGACAGCCTCAATAGGCCTGAACATGTCATCTGCATGGGTAGCCTCTGGCTTCATAGCGCTTCTTGTCGACCGGCCCTTTCGCGGGGTCGCGTACTTGCGGCCTGGGGGGGTCATGGCCTTGCTGGGTGAGACTGATCGGGCCGAGCGCGCGCGAGTTTGGCGAAAGCCAAATGTAGGAAGAGTGGCCGGCTGGGCGTTTGCGACATCGAATCTGGGAGGCATTTGGATGGGGGTGTTTGATTTATCCTTGCCACCCTTTTCGATGGGCGCGGGGTCGAGGAGCGCCTCTATCCAGTGGCGCATCGAGTACTCCTCGGACAAGGCCAGAGCTAAGCGAATCGTGTCAGATGTCCATCATTTGCGGATTGAGGGATTTTTCATATTCAAAGAAAAAACTTACCCTCCTCTGGCGAAATCCAAACACTTCCGGCTACCTCCTCGTCACCAGCTGAAGGGAATGTCTTCTGGTACTTGCGTTCGAGATCCTCTTCCTGGAGCGAAGCCCAGGGGAACGCAGCCTTGAACATTCCAGTCGCACTGATGTAACCGTCGCTACTACGTCGCTGTTTGTCGCGTTAGTCGTCGACTGCGCTCAGGGCAATGCGCTTGCTGATTGTTTTGCATGGCGTACCATCAAGAAATATGACTCTGGGAAAGCGGACATGCGATTTCGCGAAAAGATGCCGGATCCCGTAAGATCCTTTGGCAGCGGAACCCTGAGGTGCGCGTAGTCGAAAGTGCCCATGTTTTCGAGCTTTGTCGCGTTGGTAATACCCGAGACGCCAGCCTTGACACCCAAGTTTGTTTGTCCCAAGCGACGTCTTTCAATGAGAATCTCGACTGGGCGATCTTGTCAGTCGCGTTGCTAGATGAAGGAGATGAGAAGCGACGCGATGCGCGACGTGTACGTACTGGCCGTCGAGTCGGTGGGCTCAAGGAGCGGGTTCTTCCTTTCGGGGAGGACGCGATCAACAACCATTTTGGCGAAGTCTTGGGGGGGTTGTCTTGGAAGAGGATATTACAATGGATGTATGGGAGGTGCGGCGCGCAGCGCTTGGGGTATCGCGAAAATATTGCGAGGAAATAAGAGTGCGTGTTGCGCGTGCGATCGACGTGATGATGAAAGAGTGCGTAGTTGCGACAGAGGCGAACAGACAGACAGGCAGAAGCGATGGGGGTGCTATCCCTGTGCACTAGCGCTGCCCACGCCCAGTCTAGCCACACCCGGGCAATGTTGTCGCGCTCATCAGACTTTGGCAGCGGCCTTGTTATTACGTTCTTTTGGAGCGCTTTTTCTAGAGTATTGCTATATTAGTGCTGCTGCCGATTGGCCTTGAAGACATTTCTTCTGCCCATTGCAGGCCCGATGAAGTGTCGTGCAGATTGGATGCGCTGCTTTGAGACGAGGGCCACTAGATCACGCGTTTGCCCTGTCGTTACGCGCTATGTACATATCCATACACAAACACACAAACATGCCAACGTACAATGAACGTCCATACACTGGCAAGCTCCCTTTGTCTGCCCCAGGCCGCTAACACTGCGCCACCCGACAGCAGCCTGACATCCACATCCAAGCATTACGGCGCCTCGCACGGTATCAGATCTGTCACCCTAGCCCTCCAGATATATAGCAGCATCTAAGTAGGTATATACTTATACATACAGGTTAATGCATCTGGGCAGTCATCCATGGACCTGGCAATATCAGCATTCAACAGGCCACTGCTCTGTCCCAGCATCAGCCCGGTATCGGTCGGCAAAGCTGAAGCAAAGAGCAGCAATGCGAAGCAGCCATGAACATAAGCAGTCATCTGAAGCGAGCGATCCCCATGACCTGCAGGGCATAATCCCCATCGCATCCAGATAATATCTCCGAATTGGTAGCCAGAGGCTGTCTGCGACCAACTGCGCTAAACACGTCACCCTGGCGCTCTGGCGTCGACGGGCCAAAGGCAATTGGCAGCGCGTCGACAGCAGCAGTGGCTTGAAGGCCTGATGTTGCTTTTTCTCGTCTGTGTGAACGCGCGGGGTCGTGTCTCTGCACCGCTGTGAGACGTCTTCGTCCTCAGCACGCTCGTCGTCTCTTCTCTCGCTGGCCCCCTAGAGGACTGTGCATCATGCACTCGTGTCGCAGCACGAGTCTGGATGGCATGCGACGTATCAAAGGGATCCACCATCCACCCAGCGACGCGGCAGGCCCCGCCAGGAACCAGGCGCCTTAGCCGCTTTGAGCTGCTGGAGCGGTGAAAGTGCCCCGCTAACTTCGAGGCTCAACATGAGGCCGCGCCTACTTGGGCCCCTCATCCCTCCAATTGACCCTGAACTTCTCCACAAACATTCTCTCGCCGCCTGTTGCCAGCCACACACAACCACCCATCCCTCTCCATCCAACCACACCCGCCATGGCCGACCACGCAGACGACCTCCACGCCGAGCAGACCGAGGGCTTCAAGGTCGGAGAGAAGAAGACAATCGACGAGTACCAGAAGCTGGGTACGTGGCACCCCCATCGCGCGGCTAGCCCATACAAACAGCTTGACAACACTTGCTGACCTTCGACCGCCACAGACCAAAATGATGAGTCTCTGCAAAAGTGGAAGGCGTCCCTTGGGCTTGGCCAGGGCAAGGACATCTCCGACCCCAACGACCCCCGCAAGTGTATCATTCTATCCCTTGGTCTCGAGGTAGAGGGCCGCGACGACATCATCATCGACCTGCGTGCTCCTGGTGCCCTCGAGCAGCTCGAGAAGAAGCCCTTCACCATCAAGGAAGGTGCAAGTTTCCGCATGAAGGCACAGTTCAAGGTCCAGCACGAGATTCTGGCAGGTCTTAAGTACCTCCAGAAGGTGACCCGCATGGGTGCTAGCGCCAAACTGCAGGAGATGATGGTGCCTATCCTTACCAGGCTCGTACATCTACACATACGCTGACCATCACAACAGGGCTCATACGGCCCCAACACTGAGGAGAAGCCGTTTTACGAGAAGAAGTGTACGTGTCCCATTTCGACAAAAACTGCCACGTCACTCTGCTAACTCTTCCTCCAGTCGAGCCCGAAACAGCTCCCTCTGGCATGCTTGGTCGCGGCCACTACACAGCCCTCTCCAAGTTCGTCGACGACGACAACCAGGTCCACCTGCAGTTCAAGTGGTCTTTCGACATCAAGAAGGACTGGTCATAGGCAATCGGCTAAGTCGGCGTGTTGGAAAAGGGTTGTATTGTCGTACTGCGCAACACAGCAGCCTCTTTTAGTTGGAAGCGGTGGATATCCAGAGTGCTTGAACTCCCACGAAGTAACGAAGCGACGGCTGACGGTCGACCGTTTGGACGGATACACCAATCCGACCAGATATCGATCTTATAGCTTTGAAAGAATCAAAATTTTCAGGACCTTTTACATCTCGTTCCGTCCTTGACTCGAATGTGCTTGATGTTTCTCGAGCTGGTCGAAGTGAAACCATCTGCTTGCAATCCTCTTCACCTTGACGGTCCGACCCGCCCATGCTTTTCCACTGCTTCCAGAACCAAATCTCCTTGCTGAAACATTGAGAATGGATACTTCTTGCTCCCATGGATCTCCAATGATAGCTTCGCGTCGAGTCTCGTGCTCAGTATCTATTTCAACGTCCTCTTCGGCAGGGGCTGCAGAAGTATCATAGTTTCCTTCACACTCGACTATATGGAGTTGAACGCCAGTATTCAGTGCAGCGTCGGCCGCTGTAGCAAAGCATCGTGACAATCCCTGGGCGGAGAAAGATGGCGTTGGTGCGTGCAGCGCCAGTGGATTTACTAACACGACCCTTTCCTTTGATTTGGTCTCAGCTATGGGTTCAGCCGCAGTATGGCCATATGCAGTCAAGTAGGCGAGCAGTGCCTGTACAGATGGACAGAAAGCAAGTCTGACGTGTCGGCTCGTGAATAAGTTGTGGAGCGAAGGCGCAAGCAGTCGCTCTAGCTCGTCTGTGGCTGGCTCGCCGCAACTCTGCCGCAATGAAGTAGCAAGGTACTCCAAGAAAGATTCCTGGCTGGAGCAGATAACTAACAAGGTCGGACTTGTGCTGGACTGGGTAGTCAGGACATAGCGGAGGAACCCAAGTAGTGTTAGCGGATGGAGTACCGTCGGCGTCGGCGACATGGCAGATGGAGTGTCGAATAAGTTCTGGCTGCCATGTGCCCGTTGGAGCGCGATGTCGATGTCTGCTGCTGCTGCTGTTGTGTGGCGCCGAATACTCTAGGTGTACGTATTACCATGTAGGTTACCAAAAGCCATGGACGGTCAGCACGGGCTGCAAGTGCCAATCGGCGGCTGTACCCGCTCCCCGATTCACACCCCACCACCGTTGTTGTCCATGGCTCCAACTGCCGCAGCGCATGCACGCTGCCACGGATCATCACAACCTCGACGCCCAGAGCCTTTGCTGCCCATACCCTACCTGACTCTGCATAGCCGGCCTCCCGTCTGTCGGCAAAGACGAATCGAGTCGTGGGCTCCCGGAAGCAACGCACACCTCCCCGGGCCTAAGTCGCTGTCATGGAGTCCATCAGTCGCATATCGAGCTTGTTGGAGACAGGTATGGCGCCTTTCTTAATTTTCTCCTCTTACACATCCATCGCATCTTGTGTGTCTTTGCGATTTGTACTCGACGGGTCTTGAACATGTAATCGCCTCGCTCGTCCACTATGCATCCATCCAGCTTTGCTCACTGGTCTCTTTCTACAGCCCGCGACCTTACCCTCGAAGCCGCCCGCGATGCCAGCAATGTCCGCCGAGCGCCCACAAGAGAACTGCCCTCGAGCCAACTCAAGAAGCTTCTCGACAGCCGATCCGAGCGCGATGTCTTGGAGGGACTCCGGAGAGTAATCACTGTATACCAACCCCACCATGAATTCGAGCCATCTCAGCAGACATGGCACGCGTTGGGACGTGTAGTAACTGACTATAGTTCCTCTAGATGTCCTACCGACAACCTCCTGCGCAAACACTGCCTTTCTTCTCCAACGTAATCAAGAATGTCGCCTCGCCCTCGCTTCAGGTCAAGAAGCTCGTTTACATATACCTCCTCCAGCATGCCGAGCACGAGCCAGATACCGCTCTCCTTTCAATCAATACCATTCAAAAGTCGCTTACGGATACAAATCCTCAATTGCGCGCATTGGCGTTACGAGTCATGTCGAGCATACGGGTCCCCGTAATTAGCCAGATTGTGAGTCTGGGAATCAAGCGCGGTACTGGAGATATGTCGCCATACGTAAGGAGGGCAGCAGCTTTGGCGATACCAAAATGTTACAGACTGGACCCCAACACCGAACCCCAGCTGCTGGAGCACCTGTCGACATTGTTGGGAGACAAACAGTACTTTGTGACTGGAGCCGCTGTAGCATCGTTCCTAGAGCTGTGTCCGGATCGCTTAGACCTCATACACCCGCATTACCGCGCCTTGGTACGGAAGCTAGTCGACATGGACGAATGGGGACAGTTGGCTACACTGCGATTGATGATGGTCTATGCACGGAAATGCTTTCCCAGAAAGACGAGAAAAGTCAAGAAGGCGGCTGGCGCTAAAACGAATAGCAAACCTTCGCAGTCCACAAAAGGATTTTATGATGATTCTGAGAGCGAATCTGAAAAATACGAGCAAGAACAGGACATGGAGGAAATTGCTGTACTGGATCCTGATCTCGAATTGTTGCTAAAAGGCTGCCAGTCGTTGCTCCAATCCCGAAACGCTGCCGTGGTGATAGCGGTAGCCCGAACTTACTTGTATCTCGGTACACCCGAGTACCTGACCCAAGCCATCGGGCCGTTGATCTCTCTGCTGCGATCTGCTGCCGACATCCAGCACGTAGCGTTGTATAACATTGTACAGGTCTGCTTGGCACATCCTGAGCCATTTGTAAAGTACTACACACACTTCTTGGTGCGATCAACAGATGCACCGCACATATGGCAGCTGAAGCTCGAGCTGCTCACCTTGA